CAGGGACGACGCGAAGTCTTGTTACAATGTAGACGACCTCAATCCGCAAAACTATGACACCCCGGATGGCGCAAGTGTGGATTTACGAGGCTCTTACGACAGCACAGCTCTTATTCAGAGTAAGGGAAGTGGGAGAAACATCATCAGAGCAGGAGGGTGTCGATGGCATGGTAGATCCTAGCCTAGCACTTTTCCAAAGGTTTTTCGACTTCCCCCTCCCAAATACGACTTTTCCTGAGCAACGCCTCGTCAGGCATGGTTTTTGTACCATCGGATTCTAGACTAGTTGACCCCTCCAACTCCAATCATATTTTTTTCTCCATAAACGACCGTTGGCGGAAGGTGAGGTATGCAATCCTTCTGCCGCAACCCCTTCCCTCCTCTCGTACTCTCCCAAGAGAGTACAATAGGAGGGAAGGGGTTGCGATAAAGATAAATAAGCATGCTTAACCCCAAGTACGCCTCCCTTACTGAAATCGCAAATACGACTCCCCGTTCGACTAGTTCTAACGGACAGTTGACCCAGATCGATGGTTCCCTAGGTTGCTACTGACCGTGACAGTCCACGCTTCTCGTCCGAACCGGATATTTCCTTCACTCCACCATACCAGTGGGAATGAGCATAACATTATTTGATCATCTTGATCATTCAGCGAAACATCTAAAATTATCACAAAATGCAGAGTTGTGGGTAGAACTTTCTCCTCAGCAGGGATTTATACCCGGGTCTCTTGCTTTTCGGGCTATTGTGCTACCAGTTCCGATAATTATCTTCTTGAGAGCAGTGAGATAGCGTTTACGTGGACTTGCTTTAAACTCCAGTCTGAGGTAAACCTTCTTAACTCGTGGTCAATTACTGTCAGAGTTCAAATAATGAATTTTTTCTGGGCCATTTCGATTGCCAAACCAGCAGCATTGCTTCCTGACCAAATAAGTTGCTCGTTGCTATCCTTCTATTTTATAAAGCGCTAACTTTGTGTGTCGGTTTGTATGTCTGTATGTGTGTGTGTATGTATGTATGTGTGTCCGTCCGCAAAATGAAGTGAGTGAGAAGGAAGCTCATGGGATAAACAAACCGCTAACAGAATCATGTAGCTCACAGGACTTTAGCTATTAGTGTTTTGCAATGGCATGATTGTGATAACACCCCAACGGCTACATAAACACCTACTGAGGTCACTTCCAGTTATTTCACATGGTGCTGCGGTGGCAGCTGAAGGTGAGTGGAAGGAGAGGAGAGGGGGGGTGAAGTGTTCGAGGAGGGTAGGCGGGAAACCACCCCCAACAGGCCTAGGATGCAATTAGCTTTCGTAAGGTGATTTTAGGCCGTAAAGCGTACGCTGTGAAAGAAGGTCCCGGCGGTTGGGGAGGGGGGACCAACCTGGTGTATGAATCACAGGAGTCTAAGGAGAGAGGATCTCATATAAGTTCCCTCTTTACAAATTTACTCATACCTCACACCTCGCTCACTCGGCCCTTAAGAGGACCACATTCCCTTCTGAATACTCTATGAGAGTGTAACGTATGTATGGCGCATTTTAGGGGAACCTATTGACTTTGACTACTTGAGCATTTGTTCTCCATTTCACACAGCGAAATTGTCTGGAATTCCTCCTAACCCCTGTTTTCCCTTCTTTTCATTTTTATTTATCTTATTTATTTTCTTTACTCTGGAATGGCCGTTCAAACTGAGACACTAATTTTCTGCCGCAGACGTGAAAGCGCTTCGTACAGTCCAAAAAAGTGCCCTTATAAATTTTACCAGCAATGCTACGATTCATGCCCAGTGGCTCGGTGCTGGATCCACAACAGCCATGTCCAGGCATGCCAGGCCAAAATGTTGGGCGCCATATTCCGCACCCTGCATCAACCAGGTGGATCCCCTTCCGCATCCGATGACTGCAGCTATTTAGAGGGAACCTGACCAGTAATTAAGTGCCTGTGGGCAGCGATGCGTTCTACGTGAGTCTCTTATCATTGCTTTTTACCGTCTACAATTACATTCCAACTACAAACCATGCATTGAGGATTGTTCAGGTCCCTGCTCATCGTCCTCGCAATTTTCGGAATCCTTTTCGTTGGCGATGCAGCCCAAATGAGATGTCGATGCCGCAAGTTCCCCCGTTCGAGAAGTTCAACAGCCACAACAACGACGAAGGCTCCTGGTTCGAGTTATTCCTTTGCTTGTACTGGAAATTGCTTTTTTTGTCGAAGGTTGAAAGAGAGTGATTTTGATGGCTGGAGGGCGGTGTTATTCCGATGGCGTTCTCTGAACGTCTTTGGTGAAGGGCGTTACATCCAGCGGCGTCCAAAACACACCTCCAGCGCGAAGAGGGACCTGGTCCACAAATGATGTTCACATCTGAACCCAATCGCCTTTCAACCGTTGTGACCACTGCCTGTAAGTCTTACTCTTCAGAGGAAACACAATATGACCGCGAAGGTCCAACAACCAGATCCACCAGCGCTCGCAAAAGGTGCTGCTGCGGAGGAGCCAACGGGATGAATTCAACGACACAGACGAGCACACCTGGAGCTGGAGATTTCCCGAAGACGACCACTACGAGCATGTCTGCCACGTCGGAGACGACAACGACGGCTCCAACGAGTACAACCACAAGGTGTAGAACTCCGAATCAGTCCAGCTCCCTTACCGCTATGCAACTTCTAATTTCCAGAGAACCCCTATGATCGAAGTAACGAAACATATGTTGATGAAAATGGAACTGATGACAACAGTACATTGGTTGACGAGGACGACACGCAGTGGGCTCGGCGAGTACGCAAGGCGATCGGGTGCCCAAATGGTTGGATACGTCTAGGCGCGCCCACCGACTCCTGCTATCACATGGAATTCATGAAAATGGAACGAGAAAGCGCCCCAGAGGGCGTGTGTCGAGAAAGGCGCGACTTTGTTCGTTGCCGGACTCGGAGGAAGAGTTTGTGAGTTCCTGCTGGATCACATGAATTCATGAAAATTGTCCGTAAATTGCGACCTTGGCGAAAAGCTGACTGATTGCTTTTTAGAAGGAAATCGCTACTCAATCACCGTTGTACTTCTGGAGTTGGATCGGACTCGCACAGTACGATGGTACCAACAGACCGGAGTGGACCGGCTCTGCTGGCATGGACCCAACGAAAATGTTAGTTTTCTTTTGTAGTAAACGGGTGCTATGAAAGCGTTCACAGCCGCAGTGCCTGAGGGGGCGTGGCCAATAGGTGCGAAGCGGTCGCATAGGCGATCCGCATGAGTGTGAACCCCTTGCGATGAGCTTTCAGCAAAATTTTGGGGACACCCAAAATTAAGATTTCTGGCTATAAATGGTTTTATTTTCAGCAAATGGCTGATTTCTCCATTTTCGTCGATGGCTAACGGTTGGTCGAAAGTTTCAACGTGCGCGGCTTTCTACAACACCGAGAGCTACCACACCACCGCCTACGTCTACTTCTATACGTGTTCCACGCTGTACCATTCGATCTGCGAGCGAAACATGACTCTGACCCATTTTTAGTCATGTTTTTGAACAAGTCGCTCAATGCTTCGTGGCTTATGAATAAACATTTTGTACACATGTTGTGAACTAGAGGCCCCATTGTTCAGATTCCAGTGTCATATTTATGGCAATTCAAAATGTGAAAAAAAATTATAGAGATATTCTGATTTCTGTTGAAAAGGACCGCGGAATAAGATTTACGAAAAATGGAGCGCATGGTAGAATAAATCTCGCGATTGAGAGGAAAATTCAATGAATAATTAAAAATAAAAGAGTCAAGCGCACGTGGAATTTTCGTGACCAGAAGAGGGTAGAGGACGGAGGCTTTGTGACTCTGGGGTGGAGGGGGGGGTGTCACTCGGTTCAGAGGAAAGGGATCCCTTTTTTGGGAAGTCATGGAGAGGTAGATATATTGAGAATTATTGTTTCAAGAAATCTGGAGAAATTCTGAAAACCGTCTCAACCGTTCGAAGGATTGCATAGACTCGTCCCCTGCCCGACGAACCTTTGAGTTTTTTGGCGGAGTTTCGAAGCGTGGGAAGAGGAACCATGTTCATCAACCCTACGTACAATATCGGTTGTTGAGGAGGTCGTGTTGGGGACCTCTACGTAGCCGGGGTGACGGTCGACCATGTGGTGGGGTATCACAAGAATCGATAGACAAAGCCCTGATGGAGCATTTTCGCGCTTTTCAGTGCGATGCAAAGAATTTGTGAGCCAGAGGGAGTGCATCTGTCTCGGGGGGGGGGGGGGGAGAGAATGAGAGGGAACATCACTTACAATGCGGCGAAACGCTGTGTATGCAGTTAGGGCGCTAACTGAGTTTGGGGGGAGCCATGCGGCGGGGCGGAAAACTCTGTTCGTTTGACGCGTCTCTATTATAGGCCCACTTGGTCCTTTAGCCGTTAACTATTTACGCTAGATAGGAAGTACGAGGCAGAAACGCCGCCCGCCGGATCCCCCTGCCCCGACAGCGCACACCCCACGTTGGTTGATCCGTTCCCCCTGGTTTCCGTAACAGTCGAAGATAAGCCAGACAATTGTGCGCAATTGCAGTACAATTGACGTGCATCGATGTCAAGAAGTCTTTCGCAGCACTTCCGTGAGTGTGAGCGCTTTTTCATCGAGATTCACCACGTGTGCCTAACTGCCTAGTCAATTCTCTGCTAATTTCACATATGACTTTCTGGTTCATCTTGACGGCGAGGGTACATTATCATAATTTCGCGCTTATCGTATTCTGAAATATCGAGTGCCCTTCGCTCTGCTCGGCTGTCCGACCTACATTGCACCATAATTTTTCTCAACTGATAGTGAGGTCCCTGACCGGGACTCTCTCTCTGGCAGATGACTGGCATTCTTTCCCCCGCTGGCAGATGTCCTTCATGTTCGAACCCCCGTTTGCCGCAAAAAGGCCGACGAGCAGCGCCGCGTCGAGCACGAGCTCGCGTCGCGTGTGTGGCGTTCGATTTCATTTGCTGACGCTCCGGCGCTTGGAGTCGTCGTCGTCATCCCTCCTCGTTTTTTTGTAGTCTGATCTCTTCAGTCATTCTTTGCTCCATTCATCCTTTTTGCCTAAAATACATTTCCAGTTGCACAACTCGAAATGATTCTGTTTTTAGAATGGGACGTGACGAAACTCGTGTGTATGTGGGCAATTTGCCCCCAGATTGTCGTGAGAAGGACCTCGAAGATATCTTCGCGAAATATGGGAAGGTTCGCTTCATCGACATCAAGGGCGGACGTGGCCCGGCATTTGCTTTCGTCGAATTCGATGATGCACGGTGAGTGTTCTTTCGGATTTAGGTGCGCTGCGAAGCACCTCATTGTTCTTTTCGTTTTCTGCCTGAAAGATCAGATCTAGGGAACGAAGTTTGTGTTAAATGTTTGTGTTTTCAGTGACGCCGAAGATGCAGTCCGTGGCCGAGATGGCTACGACTTTGATGGATCGCGTATTCGCGTTGAGTTCACCCGTGGAGGGGGACCACGTGGAGGTGGTCGAGGTGGTGGCTTTGGAGGCCGTGGTGGAGGCTTTGGCGGCTATAGCAACCGAGGAGGCGGCTATGGAGGTTATGGCGGTGGTGGAGGCTACAGCGGTGGTCGTGGTGGCGGTGGAGGCCCTCCTACTCGTCGCTCCAACTATCGTGTCGTCGTCGAAGGAATACCGGCAACTGGCTCTTGGCAAGATCTGAAGGTATCTTTCATGGCTATTTTCTTACTAACACTCCATTACATCTGCTGCCCAGAATCACTTCAAGGATCATATGCGTGAGGCGGGAGAGGTTTGCTACGCGGACGTTTCTCGCGACGGCACCGGCACGGTCGAGTTCGTACGTCTTGACGACATGAAATATGCACTAAAAAAGCTGGATGACACGAAAATTCCGTTCTCATGAGGTCAGTTTCATTTTCTGCATTAAGATTACTTGTGTAGCATTTTAATACCATTACAGGGAGAGACAGGGTACATTCGCGTACGTGAGGACACCAGTGGCGGCGGCAGCGAGAGAGGAGGAGGAGGAGGAGGATCAAGTCGTGGTCGCTCCCGATCGCGCAGCCCTCGAGGTCGAGCTTCGCCAAAATACAGTCCCCGTCGTTCACGTTCGCAGAAGTCGCTCGGCGTCAGGATCTCCAAGATCAAAGTCTCGCAGCCCATCCCGTGATTGAGAACGTTGAGGAACATCGAGACGTCAATGGTATATTTTTTTCGTATATCAAAGTCATGTATTACTGTATAAAAAGCGTTACCTAATGAGATACCTCAAGCTTACCTCATCACACCTTTTACATGCATTACCATGATCTAATAATGTGTTGCAGCGGTATTTACCGTGTTAGTGTTGATTTTCTGCCGATTTCAATGAAGTTTACACTGAATTTGATGATGTTGTTTCAGCCTCCACTGTGAGAAAGGGATGAGGAAAGGAGGAAATGATAAACGGTGGAGTAAAGCACATACTGCAGCATATGAGATTGGCCTTATTCAGTGGAATCAGTTACGGAACCATGGACAGTATAAGGGATAGGGATCACTCACATCAGTCACACAGTATTATGAGAGCACGAGAAACATTGCAGTACAAGTGAGGTTTTTCTTATTTTCCTTTCAGGTCTCCATCGTCATCTTCGATTTTTTAATAACTAATAAATGTTTCATTAATTTGTTTGTTACAATCCACACACTTAAAATCTTCATAAAGTGGCGAGTTTCAAAGAAATCGTCAAAGTCGAAAAGTCAACGTTAATTCTATGAAATTAACATGGACTTACTATCAAGCTCACCTTAATGCAAAAAGTTTGCATTATTGTTGGTACACAATAAAAACTTCTGGGCGCTATCGCAATATATATGGGGCATTCTCTAGGACTGAGCTTACGAGGGGCAGAAACGTCGGACAAAATGATTTGCTTACGCACACTGAAGTCTTCTCTCCCTTTTAGGGCCTAGTCCCGATTCCAATAAAAAGACGTTTCATGCGATTTCTGATGCATTGCCATCAGAATGCCCCGTATAGTAAGATATCGCCAACTTCTGGTCTTAACTGCACTGCAACTTTGATTATATTAAGAGGGTTTGTGAACGGTGGGTTATTTTGAGCGGATGAGTGCATTATTTTTGATAATGCCTAATTCATTCAGTAACGAGAACTTCCATGTTTGCAAGTGTACTTGCAACTCTCTGGATCAACTTATGAGAAATTCGATAGTCCGGCTATACAAATAGCTTGTCAGCGACAAACAGTATCAATAACAATTCAGTTGTTTGCGAGAGCGAGTTCCTTACCATGTATGGCGGCCAGCTTCACTACTTTTAGAACCGGGTTATCATAAACTGCCTTCGTGTTTTCTGTCAAACGAAATGGTGCCATTTCCTTCTCATGTGACGGATAGGTCCAGCATTGAAGTGCATTGTCGGTCTTCGCTGTTTTTTCGAGCTTAAGAGCTCGATTGATATGTGACATTTTCCAGTTTTTCTTTCCAGAAGGGGTTCATCTCTGTCTGTGGTTGTGTTACATTTTTATTTTTGAAATGTGGGTCTGCGAAGCCTGCCCAGCTTGCCTAAGAGGAAAACGCCATGTAGGATTCCTTCCAGTGTCGAGACGCGTGTTTTCTGGTTTGTTCGCTTGAATTGTCCATTTTGGGCAAGGGTTTTTCTGAGCTCGCTTTCGCTGCTCGGTTTGTCTCATATTTTCTTTCTATTCTCTTGAAACTACACGAGGAACAGCGTCGCTTCATTTTACAGTAGTTGAAGGTGAGACGAATGATGTATTCGTATAATGAGATGATTAAGTATTTACTTGACAATATTCCCAGCGAAAAACATCGGACGGGCAATTGGTGGCGAAACAGGCTCTATGATAAGCAGTGCGTATCAGACGGCTGTGTTATTTGCCCTTATGGTAAAATTGGGGATTGTAGCTATAGGGGAGTAATTTATCAAATCGAATGCCGGGCTTGTAACTCAACCTATATTGGAGAAACAGGAAGGGTTGTAGCCATCCGCATCAAAGAACATTTGGCTAACATGAGGCGCGGTACTCGTTCAACGGCTCTTGGAAGACATAAAGTTGAGAAGCACAATGGCGTTGATTTCGAAATAAGATGTACGGTGTTGGCGCATGAGACGGAAATTGTTGCTAGAAAGGCATTGGAAGCATTCTGGATTTCCGCAAGAAATCCAGCGATGAACGGCCGGGATGAACGCCCTTCAATAACAAGTGATCTCTCGCCGTTTATACCGCACTGCGAGCTGTAGAATAAAGCGTACGTGCGTCTCCCAGCGATTACTCGAATCAGGAGACATTACGGTGTGCCTTATTTCTTACTGACCGGCGCTTTTGTGCGGAAGCGGGATTCCCGCACAAACGGTGGAACCCTGGGTGAGTTCAAAATTCGTTTTGCTTATGTTTCTCGGTGGGACTCCCGGCGGAAAGTCGGAACCGCTAGAGGAGATCAGGCGCTTGGTCGATTAGATCGTGAATTTCAACCTTGAACCGCGTTTAGGCCTCAGAAGACGACGATTTTGTCGAAACGTCAGGCCGATTGAATAAATGTTCCACCTATCAACCTCGAACGGCAGAAGAAACAAACACAAATAAGTATTATTTTCATATAGGGCAATATTCAAATAACTACTTCCATCGGATGCGCCAGTTTTTAATCTTCATGTGAGTTTCGTTGGCAGAGCCCGTTCGCACCCCGTAGCAGCTAAGGAGGAGCAAAGCCCGTCACGCTAAGCAATGTTTCAACTGACCTCCGCTATGTACAAGAGCAACCAGCTCAAGATGCCGTGTCGAACGCTTCACGCAGGCTCCGTAATTCGTGTAAAGATATATAACAGTGGAACGGATTAGAAGTGTTGTTATGACAATATGTATTCTTGGCCAAACTGAACGGTTTCGATTGCTGCGGAAGCGTCGCAAAAATCGATAACATTGAGACGTTACGACGCTTCCCACGTCAAGCCCGTCCAAAAAAGCTTGAAGATGTCTAGTTGCTCAATATGAGTTGCCGTGGCTCCCACCGAATAATAGGTTGCTTTACTCAGTGTCTGCAGGAGTTCCCACATAAGACGAGGCAGTCACGAAAGGCCTTGTAGATATGATATACCACCCTTTTTTTGGAACTCGTGGAACACATGCAGACAGGACTTTCGGTAGGGCCAACAGTTTAGCTACCCAAGTTGAGTTATCTCCAGGTATGAGGTTTGTATTGGTAGGAGGGTCAGCGACGATGTGCAATGTGGAATCATTCCTTTCTGAGTGTAAATTTTTCGGTGTAGATTGCTGATCGCTATGGACTAGACGAAATATTCCATTACACTAAATGTTGACTTTTCCTTTTGCGCGCACTGCTAAAGGAATTCAACTATTATTGGGAGGTCGCTCTCGCTGAAACTCGCCGATAGGTCAGAGTAGCAGTACAGACAGTAGACTGCCCATACGCTCTCCCACCCATCACTTTTATGGAAGCCATTGGCTAGCTCGGTATGGCTGATGTCAGACTTTGCGAATCGAGCCGTTCGCTGTCTCCGCCACGCGACAGTGGACGCAAGCGAATCGCTCGATTACAAGGTCCGACATCGGCCCATAATGAATTGCACCACTTCATGGAAGCCTAGTGTTGAGAAAAAATGGATCTGCTACATATTTATGGCCGTTACAACCATAACCTAACGAAGAAGTGGGCTTTGGATGTGTTAGCATAACTTAGGATAGATTGAATTTTCGAGAACTTGTTTTGGATAAAAAATGGGGTATTTTCTGATCAGAGAAACAGGAGCTTAATCAAATAGTTTAGCAGCGAGTGGAAAGCCGGACTTTTTTTGCAGTGTTTATTTTTGAATAGATGTCGGAGAATTTCAGTTATGCAGTACAACTAAACTAAATTAAGTTTTGCATAGCACAAAGAGGCATCGAAATTTATTGCAAAAGAAGTCTGAAAGTTCATAAAGATTCCAAGTATTCGATGAAATTCTAAAAAACCGAAAAAACAATCCAAAAGAATTTTCACAAGAATGCTGGGTTGTGAACAAAACTTTCGCCCCAGGCGGGACTAGAACCCGCACCTCTCGCTTTCCGGGCAAGTGCGCTACCTTTCGCTACAAACAAGAACAAGTCAAAAATTCGAAAAGAATTCCCTTGAAATCTTCCGCTGAGTTTTTTAATTAATTGGTTAGGTTAAATCATTTTGTTTACTGCATACCTGAAATCCTGTCACCATTACTTTGATTAAGAGTTCATTTCTGAAATTTCAATTTGTTTTTCGAACTTTTTCCAGTTAGCATGTGTCTTTAAGGGGAGTCTGAAAGGTTGATGTCCTCCCTCTCTGCAGGTGTGTCGAAGTGAAAGTGTTGCAAAACTGAAATGGTATTCCTCGTAGTTCAATGACTGGACAGGAACAGGTTTCCTGAGTGTGAAGCCGATGAAGGAGGCAAATTCAGCATATTTCTCATGTGCTAACTATCTGTGGGAGCTTTCGATTTTCACACAACAGGTCGCCGATGACCTCGACTGCTTCCCCTTCGAATGGCAATCAATTCGTGGTCCGGTTGGTGGCAAGTCGGGGCCGACACTCTCGCGACGCACCGAGCGGAGCGCTGCGTTTGCCGCCACTTTTAGGTCTTATTGAGCGTTTTCTGTGCTAATCACCGTTGTCGTCGGCCTTCGTCTCAGTCATCCGCATTTTTTCTTTCACTGGCTTTTTTGTTCATTCGATAGTTCTATGCTTCTATGGCTCATTCAAATTATGTTATTGCAGAATGGGACGTGACGAAACAAGAATTTATGTGGGTAATCTGCCTCCGGATTGCCGTGAGAAGGACATTGAGGATATCTTCGCGAAATACGGAAAGATCCGCTTCGTCGACATCAAGGGCGGCCGTGGACCTCTATTCGCATTCGTTGAATTTGAAGACTCACGGTTGGTAAATTGTGCAACTTCTTTTTCAACTTTATTCATGTTACATGAAAATATGACCTGAACACCTTCATGGACTTAAGGGGCATATAATTTGTTTTTGTTGTCGGGGGAGGGGGGAGTGTGTAATTGAATTGGACGGATGACGGGCAGGCAGTCCGCGTTCTCCCTTTCACTGGAAAAAGCCAGGGTGTACAATCACGTGAAGATTTTATTCAGAGGTGACTAGGTGAAGCATTTGTAGGAAGAATTAAGGTATTTGAGAGTAGTCAAAGTTCAAATACGCAAATAATGAGTTGATCAATCGGGCGAAGCCTCGAGAAATTCCTAAGGTTAGGTTCACTAGGACAGAAAGCGGTTTCCGCTCTTTGCGCGCGAAACTTTTCGTTACGAGAACTCCAGGTCCAGCCATGATTAGGGTGGACCTGGGGTTCCCACAACGAATAGAGCTTCGCGTCGCGAAAGCAAAAAAGTCGGTTCCTGTTAAGTAAACCACACCCAAATTCCTAATTCCTCGTGAGGTTTGTGCTTCACGACCGCTTTCTTTTTCGATGTACCCTCAAAAGGTGTCACTTTAAAACTAAGAAATTGTTCGACGGGCTACGCATGGTCTTCTTTGGCAAAACAGACTCGTTTCTCTTTTGTTGCATTCTTATTTTGCTCATTTAGTGATGCTGAAGACGCAGTGCGCGGCCGAGATGGCTACGATTTCGACGGATCTCGTATTCGCGTTGAGTTCACCCGTGGAGCAGGACCACGAGGTCCCGGTGGTCGTCCTTTGAATGGAGGCGGTCGTGGTGGATACGGAGGTCGAGGAGGTGGCTACGGTGGCCATGGCGGTGGAGGAGGCTACAGCGGCGGTGGTGGTGGCCGTGGCGGTCCTACTCGCCGCACTAACTACCGTGTCATCGTTGAAGGTCTCCCAGCGACCGGCTCTTGGCAAGATCTGAAGGTATTTTCATGACTATCATCTCACTAACTTTTTCATTTAATCTGCTTCGTAGAACCACTTTCAGGACCATATGCGCGAGGCTGGAGAGGTTTGTTATGCGGACGTTGCTCGCGATGGCACCGGAACCGTGGAATTCACTCGTCTTGATGATATGAAGTATGCACTGAAGAAACTCGACGATACGAAGTTCCGTTCTCATGAAGTGAGATTATAGCACCTTTACGATTTTCTTCGCAAAGATTTTGATCTTTTGTTTATAGGGAGAGACAGGCTACATTCGTGTGCGTGAAGACACCAGTGGCGGCGGCAGCAGCGGAGGAGGAGGAGGTCGCGGTCGCTCGCGATCACGCAGTCCTCGCGGCAGAGATTCGCCGAAGTATAGCCCACGTCGCTCTCGCTCGCAGAGTCGCTCGGCTTCGCGATCCCCGTCACGCTCACGATCTCGCAGTGCCTCTCGTGACTAACACTCAAGTACTGACATCGGTCGTGGATCAGCAATGCGTTAATGGTATATTTCAGTTCGTAATTACGTGTCGTATGTTTCTGTACTATGCGGTGTAATTTGAACTACCTCGGACTAACTCTACCTCAAACCATACTTACTTTTTGCTTTTATATGTCATCACTACCCTGTTGAATATGTACTGCAGCGGTTCTCTACCGCGCTACTGTTATTTGTTACGGCATTAAATGAAGTTTGTACGAAATTGACACAGCTGTTTCAGCCTCCAACCAACTCTGACAAAGGGATGAGGAGGAAGGAGGATATGATAAATGGAAATCTAAAGGATGTTGGCAACATAGGAGATTGGCCACAATCACCGAAATGCGACTAAGGAGTTTGGCCACAATCGCCTAATTGTGACTGCCTGGACGCACCGCGTGTGGACAGTCGAATTCGTTCGGGAGGGATAGGGATACAAAGCAAAAGCATAGGAATGTGGGAAGTGACTCAGGGAGCTAGGAGGAACGAGGAGCCAAATCGGCAAGTAAGATTTTCCTTGTTCTACTTTCAGGTCCTCGTCGTTGTCGTAGTTAAGAGAAAACTCGTCTTCACCAATAAATGACTTCATATTGCTACTTTTTAACATGACCACGTTGCGAAAGCTTCAAATGAAAGCTATTTGAAGAATAGTCAGTATTTTCTGAAGCTCCTAATTTTCGGGGAGATGTTGGGCGTGAGCATTCCACAAACACCGCATTCTCATGCATTGACCGGAAAGCAGGTTTTGGGTGTTGTGCGGTAAAGTTGTCATCTGTCAAGCTGTGACAGCTAACTCACATGTTCGATAGGGATTTATTTCTACCCAATGTCAAAATATAATAGTAAGATATAAGTTAAAAAGGTAGGTCAAATAAGAGCGCTGAACATCTCGTTCGGCAGATTTTTGTAAGTATCTGCACGACCTGTATTGCATGTGTATTGTATATACGACCTATCCCCTGATGAAAATTGCTCTCCTGGTTTCAAAAAATTCCTATCTCACAATTACAAAAAATGTTATACTGATCTTCCTGAGATTTGGTGGGGTAGGGTTCGCTAAGACAGAAAGCGGCTTTTCACTGTTCGTGGCGCGCCGCTTTTTTCGTTGCGGGAACCCCAGTCCACCCCTAGCTATGACTGGACCTAGGGTTACCCGAAACGAAAAAGTTCCGCGCGCGCGAACAGCGGGGAAGTCCTCATTCTGTATTAACGGAGCACCCGGTTTCGTGAGTCGAATATCTCCGTTTTTTTTCCTGGGAAAAATTATTTGCAAATAAATTAAGAAAAAGCTTGTTATCGAAGAAGACCGGTGATGAACAAAGCTGCTGAATGTGAGGAGCAAAACAGAACGTACATATTGCCCTGTGTGATGGTTGGCACTGATACATTCGTTTCGCAAAAATTCCGATAGAAAGTGGTTCTGTAGCCAACAATCCATCAAGTGGAAAGAAGGGCTATTTTTTGAATTAAGCAGGCACGTGTGCGGTTATGGAGGTGTGGAAAGCTGACGTTATTGAAAGACTTCAGTAGCTTAATTTCCCGAAAACCCCAGGAAATGGCTGTAAATCGGAAAGGCAGCGGGTGGCCGTATTACCTCATAGTCAGTGGTCAGAAAAGTGAGAGGCAAGCACTCTACAACTGACTATCTTGATACAAAAAACTTTATTGTCCTCGAAATCTGGTTAGATAAAAACGGGTTCAGTGAGTCGATTCGATGTTATGCAGAATTCACAAAAAGGTTCCGATCAATCCACACGTTTGAAAAGTTCCAAAATTAAGTAAGACGCTTTCTGAGCACGTGTATTCAGAGTCAACCCTGCGTTGCGCAGTTCTCAACGGCCACGTTGCGCAGTTTCGATTAGACACGTTCTCTCGCGCGAACATTCACACTCGCATGCTCGAGCCGTCTGTGTCTCCGCCCATACAGCGTGCGTTGAGGATCTCTCAACGTGCCGTTGCGAACTGCGCAACGCAGGGTTGACTCTGCGTGAGTAGAAATTTCGGCACTATTGCACTATTACAACCCCAGTGGGGGCCGAGATGGGTCAAAAAATAATTTTCGCTGAAACTTTTGCTATGGGGGTTATCGAGGGTCCTGATCACGAATATGACATCCATTTTTTGGCGCTGGCGCCAAATTGGCGCCATTTGGCGCCAGCTGGCGCCACTACTGATTATCACCAAATTCGCTGTAAACTTCTGAATAGGGGTTATTTGGGGCCCTGATCACGAATATGACACTGGTTTTTAACATTCGTGCTGTTTAACGCATATTTTCTGCTTTTCTAAGCTTTCTCACCTATAGCGCCTAGGACTAAGCTTAGGGGAGGGGAGTGAAACTCCGGAGTGGGTAAACCACGCACCGTGTGGCAAAAGTTGGAGTGTGTTAGACCACAGGGGAGTGGCCTACTCTTTGGAGCCCTCCACTATTCAAAGGCTTAGTCCTGATTGCGATCTAATTAGTGCGAGGGCGCAGACGAGCAGGAAATAGGCGCCGAATAGCGCTAACAACAAAACGAATGTCATATTCGTAATCAGGACCCCAAATAACCCCTATACAGAAGTTTACAGCGAATTTGGTGATAATCAGTCGTGGCGCCAGCTGGCGCCAAATGGCGCCAAATTTGGCGCCAGCGCCAAAAATGGATGTCATATTCGTGATCAGGACCCTCGATAACCCCCATAGCAAAAGTTTCAGCGAAAATTATTTTTTGACCCATCTCGGCAACCCCACTGGGGTTGTAATAATGCAATAGTGCCGAAATTTCCCGTCTCACATGATGTGCTAAATTAGGAGAATGCATCATTAACGCTCTTTAAAGGACGAATTCACGATCAGAGGGAAAATCGAATTAGGAAGAATTCACCTGGTTGAGGGACCCGCGGAGCTCCTAAGTGTGCGAACTGAAGCACAATTTGCACAGGAGGAGTTGACCTCGTTGACCTATTAAGGTTTAATCCCGCCGCGGCTGGTCAGTGCACGCCCACCGATCATCTGATCACTCGCCGCAGGTCTATACGTGGTGAGTGATTAGATAGGTGAGAGAGCGTAGCGTTGAAGAGGGCACAGCGATGATAGTCGCATCAATGCTCAAATCAACGGGCAAGGAAGGGGTCCCATTTCTCGGGTTCTGGGCCGTTTCTCATGGTTTTTCCTTCTTTCGTGTACCACTCACCATCCCTAGGTTAATTTGAAATGGGTTGCTTTTTCATCGTGAATTCGTCCTTTAAAGTACCTATCTTATCTGTGAAACAACGTTGGACAGTATGCGAAAAGCTTGTGAAGAATAATAATCACCCTGTAAATGTCCATGTTCGAATCCATTTCTCGAGAGCCTAGAAAGGGAAAAGCCTCCAATAGTAGTTGATCAACCCTCCGGAGGTCCCTCAACCAAGTGGTCCCGGGGTTCAACCTATCTGAACAATTAGTCTGAGTGGGAGGTGGACCTTTTCGAACATTTCTGAAGACTAGTCTACGCTTGTTCCATGATGTCGGCTACTATACATCCTGTCGAACTTCTGCAGGTTGAAAGTGTTCAAAACTGGGCTACTCTCAAATAACTTTCCGTCTTTCAAGCTCTAAAGGAAGCGACAACACCTACAATAACTGCCGGATGAAGAGTTGGTAATCTTGTGGCACCGGTAAACCCAACTATTTCCCCCCCAGCACAGTCCAACCCAGCACGGAGAAAATTTGACACAACCCTCTCCTATAGTGCGCCATGTAGGGACCTAGTCCAAAATTGTTGAGGCAATTGTTCACCGATTACACATCTTTTGCACGAGATAACAAACTTCACATGCTCATCCCGGTCTTATACCACCGATACTGTGTTCAATAATTCTGAAGGGTCCCGTCACGTCAAAACGTTTCCTCGCCTCTGCCGAGCGGTGGTTTCAACGGAAGACAAGCCTGCACCAGCTGAAGGTCAGCGAAGCACCGCGTTGGGTCGCGATCGATCCGCTTTCGAATTGGCGGTGTGCCAGCGACGATACGCAGTCGCCGCGTCGCGGACGCGCGCACGCCGGCAGTCGTTGCTCTTTCCTTGCACTTTTCGATATTTCTCATGCTTTATTTCTTTTTATTTTGTGTTTGGGAATTGATCAAACGACTAACAACTAAGTTGTTCAGAGTACTACGTTCGGAATGGGACGCGACGAAACAAGAATCTACGTCGGCAATTTGCCTCCAGATTGTCGTGAGAGAGATATTGAAGATATTTTTTCGAAATATGGAAAAAATCCGATTTGTCGACATAAAAGGTGGACGAGGACCTCTTTATGCATTCATCGACTTCGAAGACCCACGGTGAGTGTTTCTATTTGTTTCTTTGGTTTCACGTTTTCTATAGCCACATTTGAAGAGATTATGGAAACTTTTTGAGCTGACAGAGACGAATTATCCAAAGCGCCAGTTATTTCTGCACTGCACATACTAGATTATCATGACTTTACTGGTTATCTCAATGAGTTCATGGCCAATCACAAAATGTACGATTACCTGACTCCTTTTGTATATTTTTTCCTCATAACCTGGAATATTGTAGCTGCGTTATTAGGTGTACAGGCGGCATATTCTCCTCTGTGTGCTTTTTATAGTAACACTTCACGAGGGTGCAATACTAGTCCCGGTTGTCTGCTTTCCGAATACGGCTGGAACGCAATTGACGTCATGAGGTGAAAAATGTAAATTGATAGACTCACCATAAAGCCGGGAACCGGAAGGGCCCCTATTGGGATGCGTAAGCATTTTTATCTTGTCGCACCCATAGTAATCAAAAATCCAGTGTACCCCGGATTAGTATTGCACGGTCCCGTGTTTAGCTAACAGTGAGACTGCATTCAGCACTACTCAGGGTCGAGTCATACTCTGCGATCTTGCGCATTCTCCTGCAGTAGAGACCACGATCACATTTGCGATCACTGCGTTTCGACTGCAACAATCTGACCGCGGCCCTCAGGTTGCAAAAGAAAAGTGTTCGTCAAAGTCTTTTGGAGGAAGTGGCTCAATATTCTATCACGACTATTCCTCATACTGTGTTATGTTAGCGATGCCGCCGGATGCCGGTTCGTGGGCGAAGACCTGTGATAACGATTTTGATGATCGCGTATGCCCGCGTTGAGTTCACGCGTGGAGTTTGACGCGCGTGGATCCGAGGTCGACCATTGAATGGCGGTAGTGGCCGTGGAGGATATGGTGGCTATGGTGGAGATTTTGGTAGTAGCCGTGGACGTGGCGGACCACCTAATCGCCGTTCCAACCACCGCGTTATCGTAGAAGGCCTTCCACCAACTGGATCATGGCAGGATCTCAAGGTTTTTTTGGAATCATTGTAGAAATTGCTGCTATCCCTTTGATTTTTATATAGATTTGTTTTTAAGGATCACATAATGCGTGGGCCGGAGAGGTTTGCTACGCCGATGTGGCACGTGATGGAACCGGTGTTGTGGAATTTATTCGTTTTGACGACATGAAATATGCAGTGCGAAAATTGGACGACACAAAGTTCCGCTCGCATGAGGTGTGTTTACGATTGTTCTGGTTTGTTATGTATCTTATTCGATTCCTTTTTGAGGGAGAGACGGCTTATATTCGCGTGCGTGAAGACACCACCGCAGGCGGTGGAAGTTTCCGCGATCGATCCAGGTCACGCAGTCCTCGTCGATCATCTCCAAAGTATAGCCCGCGTCGTTCTGTCTCTCGATCACGATCTCGCAGTCTTTCGCGCGACTAAGAACCTGAGGAGCTTGGATTTCATGGATCTGCGAAAAGCAGCAATGTATATCTTTTTCGTATAAGCATGTCACTCCATACTGTTTACGCACTTACTATAATATTCTATATTTTTCGTTTTTGATGGTCACTTGTGAAAGTTGTGCTCTAGCGCTTGCCTGCACTTCTAATGTTGGCACTTTTGCAAATTTCAATGAAGATTACACCGACTATCACGAAGCTGTTTCAGCCTCAATTCCACTCTGAGAAGGGGATGAAGGAGCATATGATGAATGGAGGAGTAGAGCACATACTGTAGGATAGGAGATTGGCCACGATCAGTGGATTGGAATACGAATGCCTGGACACTCTATATGTGGACAGTCAATTCAAATGGGAGGGATAGGGACACAACACAATAGGATGGGAGCGCGGGACTCAATCCGGGGCGCATGGAAGTAATATCGTAAGATTTTTCTTATTTACATTTCAGGTGTCCGTCGTCAACTTCGTGTTCAAGCAATCATTTTTACCATTATGAAAATTGAATAAACATTCCTTATCTTGCTCTTGGTCACATGACATGTAACTATATTGTATAACAAGTGTTCAGCGCGGTGAATCTCTTGCAATACTCGGGGATCTGTAGAACACCATTGATCCTTGCCTGCCATCATTTACCATTGAGGATGATTAGATACCACTCACTGTATGTAAACAGAATGTTCGGGAAAGTGTTGGCTGGGCATCTACTCTCGTAACGGAGCCGGCCTCTGCGATCTTGCAAGGTAGTAGTTGCGCTAAACGTTGACGACATTGTGCAGGCGCATGCGCATACTTTGAGCACCGTGTGGGACCGTGCGCTGCACACACAAATTATTTTTTTCGCGCATGCGCTACTTCTTTTCTAATTTTTTGCATCTATTCTATAGACTACACCATAATATGACTAGACACGGCGAGGTTCATTGAATGGTTGAATATGCTCCTTTTTAGCGAAGGTTTTCTAAGCCCTACGAATTTCCCAATTGTGTTCATTCCTAGTTTTCTTTTATTTCTGACAATCTTGGTCATAAAAAAGAGTAGTAGAAGTAAGTACAGACCTACACATATAGCAAGATATGTTTTTAGTGAGGCTACCGTGTCAAAAAGAATTTTGAGGTTTACTACTTACTTTAGCAAAAACAGCAGAAAACGTCAATTCGATCGATTTTTTACAGTTGTCCCTTCTGATAAGTTTGACACATCGAATATCATTCGAAACATTTTGTTGCATCCGAGTTTTGCGTAGTTAAAGCTCAAAATTCACGGATTTGATGTGAGGCGGCGGCGCCTGCAAAATCGCCGTGGTCCCACGCGGCGCAAAAACCCAAAACGCGCGTTGTCGTCAACGTGTTAAATTAATGTTCAGTAGACTGCAAAAGAATGAAAGCGCATATACTTGAAGAGTCGAGACTCACGGAATTCCTGAGGTGAACGAGGGCAACTTGATTTAGCCTAACATCTCCTCCTAAATTCGTGAATTCGTGGCCAAACGCATACAGGATTAGTGGCCGAATCGAAGCGGAATGATGCGAGTCGCTGTCGGGCTTGCGAGCGATCCTATCGCTGGAGTCCCTGGCACATTCGCTCCGCGCCGACGTTTAGGCCGATGTCAGACTTTGCGAATCGCGCGATTCGCTAGCGTCTGCGGTCGCGTCGCGGCCAGTGAATCACTCAATTGGCTGGTACCGCAACGCGACCGCGGACGCTAGCGAATCGCTAGTAGCGAATCGCGCGATTCGCAAAGTCTGACATCGGCCTTAGCTCGAGGCGCAAAGTCTTCTAACAAACAAAACGTTGCATATGAAAACTGAGTAAGCACTGCAAACTCAGAAAAATCTATGGCCGCACGCATAGTCGGTCGGACGACAGCAACGACCGCAAGTGTCGCATAAACCGCGGTTGCAAATGGAAGGCGACGCGGTCACCCAATGCAAACCCAGACAACACGTGACTGCGCGTGATCGTATTTCGAAAGTCCCACTGTAGTGTGGAATAGTAGCTGCGTATTGATCTGCGACACTTGCGATCGTTGCTGTCGTCCGACCGACTATGCGTCCGGCCTATCACACGTGCAATTTGTTGCCCTTTATGTCACATGATGCTACATTTGTCATTAAACCTCTAGTTACGACAGGGATCCGGCGAAAAACACTGAACTATTGGCTGCTCGGCATCATGAGAGCCGGAATATTTTCCAGAGCGAGTAATTAGTCTTGCCTAAAAGTGGGGTTCCCACACTGCGAAACATAATCGTTGGGGGAATCCCAGGCCACGCAACCGAAAGCGAAAAAGTCGCGCTCTTTCTTACATTGGCTACCCCACCGTCACCTACTGACCAAAGAAATAACAAGATCTGATTCATGATTTCTTTCGGATTCAGTCAGCAGGTGGTCCTCATCATCATTGGTTATTCAGGCGCGGTACCTCCCCTCGGAATAACACAGAAGTTGAAAATCATGGCCAGCTTCAAGAGGCTATAAGTTCTAAGAAAGCTTCAGCACTTTATAGGTGTATTTCGAGTACAGCAGATCTGAAAATTACTAGAAAGTTCCACGATACGCCTATAAAGTACTGAATCCAAGCGTCTTAATGAGAAACAAAAGGTGAAATTAGTAGAAATTTTTTGGGAGTTTGTTGTTTGATTTGTTTGTGAATACGAGTTTTTCCATGTTTGAAAGTCATAATTTCATCAAAAAGCATCCAGTCCTGAAAAGGGGATGTGGTGCTGCAAACTAGAAGAGTTGCGCTTTCAAAGGATCCTCCATAGCGCTTGCACGACGACAAAATAAATAACTATCTTAAAGTTTTGTGCAGAAATTGAACTATCCACATTCATTTTCCTTTTAAAAAAGATTAACGCCCCGATCACCTTATCACACTATGTTCCGGTTCAGGTGCAGCCGTGCCGCTCTGCAAATTTGCCGCTCGCCGCGAGCGACAAAAAGCGAGGTAGTTGGGGCAGTTCACAGCAGCCGGAGAGCTACACACCTTTGCTTCTCATACGTCCTGACTACGATTGAGCGAACCGTAAATTTCAGCAAGGAAATGGTCACATCACTTGGATGGTTGAAAATGGCGTCATATTCACTGCAATGTCCGTAATCGCAAAGAATTTTCTCGAAAAAAGTCACGTGAGCAAGTGCAGGCTCTGTTTTGCGACTGCTGCCCTTTTTTCGAATATAGCGGCTGCCACTTTTCATTTTGATGCTCGGTCGTGTGCATTTTTCGCTGTGGGAGTAGGTTGAAGAAATGTCTATTACTGCTTTGTACGGAAGTAATACGTGTTCCAGGTTATCTAAGTGCTCGTCATCTTCTATACACCACTCGTTTCTCAATACCTTTTTTTCTGGTTATGATGTGCTCAAGTGTAACTTCGGGAGGGGGGGGGGGGGCGACACCGCAAAGAACACAAGGCTGTCAATAGCATGATAGTCGTTCCGATTCTATTGTTACCAACCTAGCCCATTGCTTCCTGATTAACGCATGTGTAGTGTGTCTTTTTGCGAGCGTAGTCGGTACATTATGCCCAATATGGAGGGAGGGAGCAATAGCAAAAGGGGCAAAGGAGACAGCGAGGAGGCAGCACAACCAGACACCAGGGGAAAGGAGGGCCAGGACATTAACGACGGGAGGCAAATGAAGGGCGAAGGGCATGGATGTTATGCCTACTACATTGCCATCAGAAATCCAAGGTAGTGATTCTTATGGTTAGTGCATGGACCTTAAATAATAGGATTACATGACGCCAAAATATGGCTGTCGAAACTTTCGTTGAGAAAATACGTGATTTTGGTTACGAAATTAGCTCCGTGGGCTTACGGAAACGCTAAGACTCAAAAGCCTTGAGGGGGAACTGCCAAAGTGGTGAGCCAATTACAGGTGGCCCCACGTGGTTGAACTATATGAGTAATCTCGCAGTGGTCACACAGAACCTCAGCTCATACGGGTGAGAGAGCGCAGACGGAGGGCATCGATCTTAGGAACCCGGGTCGACGGACTACTTGCACTCGGCCCTTTAAGCTGCCTCACTCGACGCTTTCGTCTGCGCTCTCTCACCTTATCAGCGGCTCATCACCACTGCGATCTCACACATTCAAACTTTTGCCACAATGCAATTGGCTCACCCACCTCGGATTCCCTCCCCCTAAAACAAGGCTTAGTCCCTAAGCGCAGGTCAACCCTATCGTTGTTACTCTTTGGAAATTTTTTACGACCCCCCCCCTTCATGGGTGGTTTGATACGACCCCCCTTTGTATGTAACACTTGTGTAGAGACAGTGTTTACCATCAATATTTATTTCTACGTAAGTCATTAAAGATGAAACTTTAGCAAAATCCACGACAGAAATTCATCGCTGCTTGCAAACACGAAAAAATGAGATGCATTCAAAGATATCCGTGTACTCCAAAGGGTTACCAAACTAGGAGATGAAATAAGCTGAACCAGTGACCGTAATATTGACAACATTACCTGATAAAAACCTTATAAGAAGTCAGAAAAATTATCGCTCCAATTAGAAAATAGTGAATCCTTAAAATCAGGCATATGCATTCAAATGCAACACAATTTTTACACCCCCTCTTCTAAGGCTATAACTTCCTTCATATTCGAGCTTCTGCGCCGAAGTGATTTGATTTGGAAAATTCAAATTATTCTCTCTCCAACCATAGGTAAAAATTCTTCGAAAGTTAATTTAATAAAAATTTAGTACGTTGTT